CTTATTGCATTTTTCACTAAAAATGGCTCTACAGACTGTGAAGAGTTCCGAATTCATGAGATTTATGATTCCACAGCTCAGGTTCCGACAAATCTAGATTCTCTAACCAAGAAATGATTCTTGTTAGTGTTAGTAACTCTAATTAAAGGAATTGACATGTTAGCATAGTTTCTGAAAATATCCTTCGGTTTTTGAAGGATGGTTTCTGGATATTTTCTTTTTGTAAAGATCTGACAGTTTACTATCTTGCCAACAGAGTAAATTTACATCAATGATTCTAGTTGCATTTAGATTTGCCAATTTTATGGGGTGTTTAGGTTATACTACCTTGAGGATTACGTCAAGATCTTTTTAGATCCCCTTATTCGAAGTTCTATCATAATTGATGTTCCAAAATAGTTTTCCCACAAGAATACTGTTCTCTTTAATTAGACAGGCTTCAATGGAATACTTGTGAATAAACTGGCTTGTTTGTGGCACGGGGCGTAGCGTATTTCGCGAACAATTCGCAAGCAGTTCCTTTGTATTCGACAATAGAACGTCACAACAAAAATAAGACTGCTATGGATCTCGTAATTTATAAAGTTACATTGCCCTTTCATAAGTTTCATATGTTTTAAACTCACATTTCGACGTATTGAGACGTCCTTGATGTTGCAGCTGTTACTTTGTCTTGTTAAAAAGGAGCTTTGGATAGTGATAAGTGATTTGAAAAGGGAAGAACTTTAGGTTAATTTTTTATTTTTATCATGTCACGTTCCTTAATCAGACATACTCCTTTGATTTTTAATATAAAACATCATTTAACTAATTTGATTAGATTAAGAAAGTTAGGTAAGTTAGTTAATTATAAGAAATGTAACATGTTTTTTCTAAAATATCATAATCATCTTTCTTAATACCTCATCTTCATCTTGTACTTGATTATGGTTGAGTGAGTATCTATAGGAGTAATTTAAAGAAAATTAATAAATATGATAAATAGGTCTTATATTAAAGATAGGAGGAGTAGTTATGTAATTATTTTTATTTCATGTAAACTTATAATTAAATACTATTAAATACCAATATCTTAAGAATAAGACACCTAGTCATGTATGATTAATGACTTAACATGACGGATAAGTAATTAGATGTAAGTATTGTCCATTTAAAAATATGTGCAAATATAGTTGAGCTAAACTCTTATACTGTTATATAAATAAATGTAATGCTAATTGGATTAATGCACAAGTACTGTGTTCTATTATGGACATATGCGACCACATTTAGTCTTGCATTTCTTTTCAAAAATGTATTAGGCTTATTAACTGCGTGTATTTGATTGACATTGAGCTATGCAAATCCGCTAAAAATCTATTAGGCTTATTTGCATTATTAACAGGGTCAAGTATATGTTCATTGGAAGGTCGGACAATTGGATAAGGTTTATGATTCATTTTCTTATATATGAAAGCAAGAAAGGAGGAGAATAATAATTTAATTTTATACTGTAATTTTTTTACTGACAATATATAATTAATTTGAAATTATAATCTACATTCAATTAGCAGTTTTTTTTTTTTTGGGTGTCCATCCTCCCACCTCAAATCCAAATTCATAAGGGTAAAAGTAGAATGGGGAAAACTGAAAAAATGTATTTGGAAGGTACTTAATGGGAGTTGTTGCTCATACTAACCACTAAATTATTATTCTTCATGTGACATTTATATTCCAAATTAGCTTTTTGCAGGAAACAGAACTTCTGCAAAGTGAGGAGATATCCATCTTTCATATTATGTTACACATGGACCCAAGGTTTCCTCCTAAATGTTGCATCTCCAAACTGTTCTCAGCACGACTTTATCCTTCGTGTTTTATCTGCAGAGTCAAACATGTATCTCTAAGACGGTTACGCAAGAAGATATAAAACAAAATTGGCAACAAAGTCATATATCACCAAATTACTAACCCAAAAATATTTTGCATGAGTCCTTCAAAATATTTTGGAAAGGAAAGCTTCTAACCTAATTTTTTTTATGCGGCCTCTGCATCATCAATAGGGAAATTATCAAAATGCATCTTCTCTAAGAGAAGATGATGGACAACAACGAATGAAAAAGGAGGGTTCAGAAATGCCTACAAATATAAGAAACATCTTTTGAAATCATGGCAGCTCAAAGCTATGGACGATGTAGCATAGCTTTTCTGGGCAACTTGTATATATCAATTACGAGTCCTTCACCACCTACTCGATACACAAGGAAAAGGTTGTAGATGATATATGCACGACACAAGCTTAGATAGGTATTAGAAAGGGGGGGAATCGGAATCATGTCCATGCTGCAAGCAAGATTTTGAATGGTAATTTAGGCTAAAATATATTTTTAGTCCTTTAACTTTATACAAGATTTTATTTTAGTCTCTTGATTTTAAAAAGTAAACTTTTAGCCCTTTAACTCTAAAACTGTTAACAAAAAATAATGATATTGAGCTCTTAAATACTTATAAAACATTAGTAAATACTAACATATTAAGTTTAATATTCAAAACAATCATAATTGTTATAAAAAATATCATTTAAGACTAATAATTTTGAAATTAAAGGGCTAAAAGTATACTTTTTAAAGTTAAGAGATCAAAATAAAACTTTACATAAAGTTAAAAGACCAAATGTACACTTTAGCCTTCTTTTTTTTACAATCTAAATGTGCCAACCAAATATTTAAAAAAGGTCTTTGCATCAGGATTATGGGGAATCCTTATACAATGCATCCAACCAAACAGACATTTAGTTTTTTTTTTTTATACACAAATTTTAGGAAAGGGGTTGGGTTCACCCACGATCCAAAAGCTGGACACCTAACGCTTGATCCACTAGGGTCTGTCCCTATGGGCACAGGAGAATGACAAGTAAGCCATTTTTTTCTGACCCAATAGGTAGGAATCACTCAATTTCACTACGCTGTGGTGATACCTCTTCCAGGGCCGCAACTGGAGCCACAACAAAGTGGCACTCCTCAAGATCAAACCCTTTCCTTTTGGTAAGAGAGTTTAACCCCTTCGCCAGTTGAACCCACGGACTAGGGGTACCAAACAGACATTTAGTACTTATATTCTTTTTTTTTTTGGACTCTAGCAATTCTCCTTTTAATAAAGTCTGTTTTTAATGCTCTTAAAAAAATTGTAGTGAATTATATTTTATGACATATTAATTAGTAGGCATGCTATTTTTTCTCCAACTTTTAGATAATGCTTAAATTTATTATAGAATAGTAAATAGTTAATGATTTAAAAACTAAATGGAAACAATTTTTTGTCAAAAGAAATCCTTAACTTTCAAGAAATTGGTTTTACAAGGCATCAGGTGAAATTCTATTTTTCTGGTTGAAGATGACCTCATGTATTTTCTTAAAAAGAAATACTCATCCGATCTTAAATATAAGACTCATATTATAGTGTAATTTACATAATAAAATAAGTCTTATATTTAGAACTAAAAGAATATATTGATTTTAAAATGATCAGTTAGCTGTAGCCTTCATACCGTCTTAATTTGTGTCACGTGAAGAATTTATTTTCTTCCCACTCTTAGTGCGAGTTTGAAATAGCAACAGCAAGAATTCTGGCGAAAAAAAAAATGGCAACAACAAGAACATAACACATCAAATCAGACCACCTCTGTTTTTTATTTTTAATGTAAAATCCATTTAATTGATTTAGTTAAACTAAGAAAATAAAATAAATTAATTACTTATAATAAATATGACATAGTGTCCTTAAAATAATTAAGATTATATATTAATTTATAAATTAACTAGTTTAGAAAAAATAGATAAATATAAAAAAAATAAAATTAATTAAAATATTATATTTAAGACTAAATTTAACATTCAATTAGCTGAAAGCATTAAATAAAAATATTTTCTTTATATTCTCTTAATCTCTCTGCATTCGAGCAGGTTTGGCTAGCCGAGCCTGAGATCTGGGCAACAAACCTGAATATTATAGTTGGAAAAACCAGGGAAAGAAAATAAATAAATCTAATTTTAAGGAAATGCTTATACTTGACATGTTATGAGTTAATCTACAAATAAATTGTAAAGCACATTTACTTAAATCTTTTTCTACAACCAAATGTTTTAGTCGCTAGTAAAAGAAAACGAACAACTAAATTATTAACAAATCTTTCCCAGCCAAACTCTTCATGGCAGTTTTTTGGCTGAAAAACAAAACTCTTCACGGCAATTAAGAGAAGCTGCACTTCCCACATGTCAAAACTCAAAAGTGAGTCTGAGTCCTTATCGCAGATTCACATGGCCGCTACTTATTGGATTAGCTTACCTAGATAAGTAAAACTATGAATACCAAGAATATCTAGATATACGGTGCAGCTGCAATATACTTAAACATCTCGGCAATCAGCATCAAAATCCACATCGGCACCTTCCTAAAGAGAATGATTCTCTCATTCTCACCATACAGACCTGCAATGAAAATATCACAGTTAAGAGAAGAAAAGGGTTTAGCAGTGAGCACCAGCAGTGTCATTAGCTCGAGATTCATGACGAAGAATATTTTATTACCTTCATGAATCCCGTGAAACAATCTGACAGCTGAAAGCTGGAGTTCTATATATAGATTAACCCCCAAGTGAAGCAGCAATTATTTTTGCACCCTCCGCACCATTAATGTAAATTCAAAACTAAAAACAGTATTATATTCTCCTGTAGCTGTGATAGGTGCACAACTAGCTATCTAAAATTCCTGTCAGAAAAACTAGGATTTTACCTGGTAGTTGTAAGTATGATTATCTCGCGTTTAGTTTATAATCTTATTAGGATTTTGAACTGATCCATCAGTGCCTTCTCATGTGGAAGTTTTATATATATCCAATCTTAGGCTCAGCAAAAATCCACTTACAGAGAACTCTTTTTTTAAAGCCTTTTGCTCTCTCTCTCTCACTCTCTCACACCCACACGCAAATCCAGTTGACATCTCCCTACACTAAAGTAGGCCTGAACTCTAAGAAAATATCCCTAGTAAGTCAATCAGTTATAGTCATGGTTGTTCCAATAATGGCAGGGATTATAAAAAAGAAAAGTGGAAGAGCATAAAGGCATTAAAATAACAAAGCAAGTATGCAGCCGCAATACATGAAACAATACAACAGTGAACAAAAATGTTCTAAAACCACATGAAAGGATGTATATTTTTATAAATTTGCGATACTGTAATGCAACATAAACTTGCCTTCTCAATAGTATAACCTGTTATCCCTCTTCTAATTTTCCCTATATGCATACATAATTGGGAATGGAAGCTCGATGCCCAGTTATAATATTCCTTCATAATCGAATGTTCTCATACTCCATTTTGGCTTGAATTTCTGAAGTCTCTAGTCTATAACAATTAGAGACAGAAAAATATTTCATGCAAATACTCATCTGTTCAAAGTTTTGCCTGAAGGTCTGGTTTTTAAAGTTGATATAGATGTTAAACATAGAATTATAACATTTGCTGATTTCACTAATAGTTCAGTCAAGGGACTCATACAGAGGAAGGGTGATTGCAGAACATTCTTCCTATATGTAGGAATGTTACGACGCACAGATAGGTTGAGAACTGAGAAATATCATGCGCCATGCACTCGTTTGAATTCATTAAAGTAAATACTGTAAATCATAAAAATATTGCAATTAAAATTAGCATGGAATAATAATATTTAGCTCTCCAAGCCAGAAAATTACATGCATGTTAAGAAATGAAAGAGATGATTACATGTGCACACACAACTTAGCGTCCGAAAGAATTTATAAGCAGAGCATGATACCTCTTGAGGAATTCATTAACATGTCGTGACCAGTTGTAGAGTACAAACCACAGAAGTACAATCACCAAGATATCTGGAACAAAAAATTCAGGAAGTCACAAGTACAAAGCACGGCAAGCATGATTGCTTGTGAACTCAGGAAAATCATCAACTTCTTTGAAAAAGAAAATATCTCTTAACTTGGACTGGCCGTCGAAATAGTTAATATGCAGAACAGACAGATTAAAAAACCCTGAATCTTAGTTTCACAATTTCAAGATTCCATATAATCATCTGGGAACAATCAATACTTGGTATTTTACAAAATTTAAGTTCCAATTATATACAAGCATTAAGCAATGAGCAAAATGGGTTCCTAAATTATGGAATCGTTACATGCGAGACTGCTCCACCAGTGCAAAAGGATCTATTTCTGGTACTGTGAAGTTGACAAACAAAAACTATTTTTAGCAGTAAAGAAACAATAGAGGATACTGAAAAGACAACGCTCCCACCAGTCTAGCATATAAAGCCCAAAAGTTACATTGTAGAGGTAGATCTTGCGCTGAACCCAATTCATATCTTTCAAACCTGTGAAAAGAAATGAAGGTAGATTCAAGACTTCTTTAATATTGGAACAGCTCAAAATTAAAGAGAGTAACAAAATTCAGATCACATACGCAGAACCACCCGGATGGAAAATCAGAATAGGGGTCAGGTAACAGGGAGACAGATCCAACAACCACGACCTTGGCCTGAACGATTGCATTGGGCCACAATTTATTTTTCCAGGAAAAAATGGACAGCAAAATAAAATGGCGAACAGAAAATGATATCAGTAAAAGAGAGAAATAACATCACAAAAACTGAATCCGGATGGGAAAAAAAGAGAAATTTCGCAGCATGGGAGAAAATGAATAACTGAAACAAGGCGAAGATGGCGAAATAGAAAATGGGCATAAAGGAATATGAAAGAGAATGTGAAGAAGAGGGAAGGGAAGAAGGAGGAAGGCTTGGATTTACCTGGTTGTGCTCCAGAAGCACCCGGATCAGCTGCGTTCACCGAGGAAGATGACTAGTGTTCGTGAATTCGATGGAGCCATCTTTGTTCCCTCCAAATCTAATAGTCAATGAGAATGGTTGCTGCCGAATGGGCTTTTGTCACCTACCCAATCCCATTGCAATCTTTACTCGCCAATGCCTCCTCACCAAATGATGCACCTTGGGCTCTAACTATCTCCCAATTTTGTAATGAGCTCACAATTAAATTGCGCCAAAAAATGTAGATGATGCAAGTCATAAGGATTTATCCTCAGGAGGCGGCTAAAACATTCGTAGCTGAAGTCAAACCAGACTATTAATGTCATTTCGATATACAATTGGTTAGGCGATTCGTGAACTAATGAATGGGCCTCGTTAATAACTTTTCCCAGGCCTATCATTTAGGGTACATATTGGGCTAGGCCTTATGACAAGCGGCGTTTCAAGCCCAAGTTTGTCTTGTTTGTTTTTAATACCCTAATAAGCTGAAAACTCCTACTACGGAGTACTCCAAGTTATTTAATAGAATGACCCGAAAAGATTTGATAAAATATAAATAAAACTTCAAGCTAAACTTGTGTGGACAATGATTTCAACTTTCTCTTTTGTTTCAGTTCAAACAAAGAGGATATATATATATATATATATATAGGTCACCAATATTAAGGGTAAATACTCGTCGGGATATCAGCATCCTAAATACTTATCTCTTATGTTTAAAAGATTATAATCAGTGTATTTATTTTTTCTTAATAGTTATCACTAATCAAGAAAAAGAAAATAAAAGGAAAAGAAGTATCAGTAATCCGGGGTAAGCCGCACTAGATGGCCGCCTATGATTTGTTTGCATTCATATGTGAGGAGTGAACAAAAATGAAAAAGAAGAAAGAAAGCAATTCCTAAAAATGATGTATTATTTTCATAATCATCCACACAACATTATAGTTTTGTTATAATTCAGCAACTATTTGTATATTATTATCATCATGATCATTTTTTTTTTTTCATTCTTTGCATTAACAAGTAAGACACGCTGACTCATTTTCGGACTCCATATAAAATATGAGAAAACATGCATGATTAATATACAATTTAAAAAAGTACATATATATAGATGTGAAAAAAGAGGACCCCAAAGAGGGAAAGAGGAAGGAGAGGGAGAAACGGAAGGTTTCAGAAGGAAGATGCAGAGAACTTGGAACAATAATGCACACTTGGATGCTGCTTATGTGGCCCCCCCCCCCCCCTTCTTTTATTTCTCCCTTTCTTGCTTCAACCACCTAAAAGAAGAAAAAAAATCCACTTTTTAACTAAGTGACCGCAAGTCAGCTATTTATCACCGGTAAAATGTGTTTTGAAGAAGTCAATACTATTTGTAAATCAAGTGTATTTAATAATTTTTCTCGTACTTAACTGATCACAAATTTCCGCAGACAAAAAATAATTAACAGCAAACGTAATTGAGATTAAATAATATATATAATAATACTAAAGGAATCTTTGAAAGTTACATGGTGGTCGCGGGGAATATTGAATAGTCCAAGGTCTCATTATGTAGTCGAGCGATATTGATTTTTCTTTCTTTTTCCTCCAACAAAAGAGATGCGGACGTGAACGAGATAATTAAATAACTAGTTTTGATCTTAAAATATAGACTTCAAGGACGGATAGAAAAGAAAACCCTTGCCCCACCCATTGCAGCGTGTTTCAATTCTTCTAAACCTCACTCATAATTTCACTCCACACTCATCATCTGTAATACTCGGTTACTAACAGAGCACAATGACTTTGTACAATTCATATAACCGATCCACTTAATAGAATAAGACTTATTATCTGAGATAACTGTTTCAAAATTTTAATATTTATTTATATATGTGTGTGGATGGCTTCATGAGTTGGACCAGCTTTCAACATCGTTGATGAGGTGTGTTGATATTTAGAGAGGTATATTCATGGGCACATAATGAATGCGTTGGTTGGGATGTAATTATATGAATAATTAACCACACAGTTTGATATTATCCGGAGAGGGACAAAAGGTGAAAGAAATAATGGGGAAGGGGGGGTCATCAGGTAGGGAGGGTACGAGTGCATGAACTTATTCAACTTTCCCGGAAAGCCCCGGCTTACTTTCTCAGGAAAATCATTGAGTCTCAACAATTACAGGTCCCATGTAGCTTTCTTCCCAATTCATTTCCATCATAAATTCTGCATCGAAGAACCCTTTCACTTATCCTCCCTCTTTTGCCTCTCATCTTCCCAAACAAATTCCACTTGCGACTGCCACACACACACACACACACACAGTTGGTTGATATGATATGAGAAGTCATTATTGCTTTCACGTTTTAATTAACTTATTAATTCTGCGTTCATCAGCCTATAATTACCTTCATTCTCGGATGCTTCCTATGCGTATAGTTACAGTGTTTTTATTAATTTGATGCTTTATTTTCACATGTCTCTCCACACAAAAATTCAATTCAATGGGCGCGCGATCTTGTGCTCGTGCATGTCCATGTATAATATTAAAAACCCAAGCTGCGTTTGATATGAATTTGTTATTTAATTTCTGGAATACTTTACGTTCAAAATTACCCAAAATGTTCTGTTAATTTCTGGAATGTTCTCAGGTTCAGAAATCAGAATCATATATACTCAGATTGCAGATTGGGTGGCGTTCTCTCCTGAGCACGCCTTCTATATATGTATATATGATTCATATGGAGATTCATGCACCGCAGTGTTGTGCGTGGTGTGAAGAGAAATTAAGGAACCTAAGTCCTAAAATTAAAATAGAATCATATAATTCAGTGTTGGGAAAAAATGTGGATGTGGATTTTTTGAGTTGGTCAGTCTTAATGGCTCGCCATTTTGGGTAGGTACTTATAATAATATGATGGAGAGATTTTGGGACGGTTTGAAAATGAATTATGAGAAAGGAGTGAAGGTTGGACGTCTTAATTAATTTAATGTGACGTGGTACTAAGGAGTAAGGATATTCACTCACAGACAAAAGGACGATGAATAATGAAACATCAGCAAAATGGAATGTTTAGCCCTTTTCATTAATTGTTGTTCCAATTCCAACTCTGCTTAAACACGTAACTTTATGCCCTTTTCAAATGCAACCTCTCTCCTTTGGACACCTCAACATTTCTGCCACTTTGTTTGACTTTATCCTCTCTTTTTTTTCTTGTTTCCTTTCCTTCTTGGGTTTATTGCTGGTAAATGTGCGTTCTTCTTCTATTAGTATCGTTGTTAAATATTTAATCTTTTTGTACGCCGGGTAATTCAAAATGAAAAATTGATTCAAGTGTTTAAATTTACGTTGTTTTTGTTCTTATGATATGCTACTATCATGCTAAAACACGCACAAAGGCTAATTATTGGATACATAATCGTGGTTTAATAGATGACTACAACTATTGAGGGCTTCCTAGTAAGGACGACATATAACATAACCAATTTCCACTCGATAAGCTACTTTCTTGGCCAGCCAATGTATGCAGCAAATTACTACTTCCGTTTTTTAACATAAAAATTCATTTGATTTTTATTTTAATCTTAAATATAAGATCTTAATTCATTTTGTCTCTCATATGTTTAATTTTTTCTAATGTACTCTTTGTAATAACGGTAGTTCTAACCAATCCACTTTATCAGCAAAGATATTTTAGAAAAAATAATACATATTTATTACAAATAACTAACTTAACTAATTTTTTTAATCCACTCAAATCAGTCAATTAACACTTATATTAAGGACTGGAAGTAGTATTTTTTTAGAGCTGCGATCAATTATAGTCATTATCCAAATTTAGATCAACCCACATCTTTTCTTTCTCCCGCATATGACAACCTTAACTAGCATCCACAAAAGTTATTTCATTCCAGATGCTATTATCCTTAGTTAATTGTTTCTTTTTCAACTACCGTGCCATGAACATTTTCACTCATTTGATTATTGAATTTTGAGTATTATTGCATCATGTCTTTAATATAAGAACTTATTTAACTTTTATTATGGTTTTAAATATAAAATATTAATCCATTTTGTCTTTTATATTTATTTATTTTTTTTCAAGATGGTCCTTGTAATAATGGTAGTTTTAATCAATACACTTGATTAGTGAAGATAGTTTAGAGAAGACAACACTTATTTATTATAAATACCCAACTTAACTAATTTTTTTAATTTACTCAAATTAATTATCTAGTTCTTATATCAAGGACTAAGGTAATAATAGTTTCTCTTGTGTTTTTAAACACGTTTAAAGCGGATGATTTTATATTTATATAAAACAGTAGTTTTCAAAATACACGTATTAAAAAACGAGTCTTCCCGCTACAAACAAAGTCTTTTAATAATATACACCTCCGATCCTTAATATAAAACTTATTTAACTAAATTGATTAGATTAATAAAGTTAAGTAAGTTAGTTAACTATAACAAATATGACATGTTTTTCTTAAAATACCTTAATCACTTTCATTATATCTTCCCTCCCTCTTATACTTGATTATGATTGAGAGAGTATCAATATGGGTGATTTGGAAAAAATTGATAGATATAAAAAATAAGTCTTATATTTAGAACCAAAATTAACTCCATAATTAAATCTTATATTAAGGACCGGAGGAATAAGTTCTAAGCAATTACTACTTTAATATAGTTTTTACAAATGTATAAGTTCTTAACTAAATATTTTTCTTTTTTTTTTTAAAAAAAAAGAGAGAGAGAGAACCAAAGACATCTTTGATTTTCAAAGAAGTCATTATGGCCTTTGGAAGTTAAGGTCGACCTTTGAAAAGAAAAATCATAACATTAGCGAACAATCATCTAGAACTTTTTATACATAACGATTGTATAATTTTAGCTATGAAGCGTTTCACAGAAATAATTTAAGATCTGTCGTATTAAAAAATAAAGGCTGACAAAAAAAAAGTTATTTTTTTAATTAAAAAATGAAGGTAAAACTTGCAGAATATAAACTAAAAATGAACCTGAAAATGTTCAATAACTCATGGGCCAGACTTTATCGATTAGAAATTCAGATTTGTTAAATTATAGAAATGTCATCTCAAATGAGAATAATGAGTCATCATGTGAAACATGTAGAAGAATCCCAGCCTGGACAAGAAT